CACACTGGTATCTAAGCTCCCTTGACATTAAGGAGTTTGAGTAAGAAACTTCTGTGATGGAACATACGCATGGACACTTGTACTTTCTTCTCCAGACTGCAGAGTACTTCTGGGACTAATTTGTCTTGAATTCTCTCCTCTTCTTTTCTCATGACCTTTATCGTCTCCTTACCTCATCACTTGTAAGATCTAACCAAAACGCGTTACTTTTCTTCATCTATCACCTCCTTTTGTCATTCTTAACTTTTTAGGACTTGGATTCTGAGAAATTAAGAGTCCCAACTGCAACTTACTATCTATGTTACTGAACAAGTTGAATGACTTCAGTTTATTTTCATATTTATAATATAAAGGTAGTATCTTATAAAATAATTTGCATTAAATTGTACAAACTACAAATACTTTTTTCTTGGTATTAAAAAAATAGGCAATGTGGGGTTCGAGAGATGGCTCAGTAGTGAAGAGCACTCTCTACTCTTGCAGAGGACACAGGTTTGTTTCCCAGCAGTCACAGGATGTCTCACAACAGTCTGTAACTCTAGTTCCAGGGGATCTTACACCCTCTTCTGGCCTCCAGGGGCATTGCACACTCGCATGGCACACATACATACTTGAAGGCAAAACAGATAAAATAAAAATAAATACATCTTTCTTTTTAAAAAAGGCAATATATTCTTAAAAAATTTTTTTTTGGGGGGAGCATGGATTCACTGTGTAGCCCTGCTAGCCTGAAACTTGGTATGTAGACTAGGCTGACCTTGAATTCAGAGATCTACCTTCTTCTGCCTCCCAAGTGGTGCTGGGATTAAAGGCATGCACCATCACACCTGACTTAAATTTTTTAAAATTACATTTTATTTATTTATTCATTTATATATTTATTTAGAGTGTGCATAAACATGTACCACAACATGTGGAGGCTATAGGATAACTTGTGGGAGTTGGTTCTCTCCTACCTCTTTGGTATCAAATTCAGGCCACCAGACTTGGTAGCAGACGCTGTTATGCACTAAGCTATCTGGCAAGCTCTTGGGCAACACATTCTATTTCATCATTTATTTACTGAAATTTAACAGGTTTTTGGTATTCTCATGGGTGAGTTTGCTTTCTTTGCTTCTTCTAGGTTTAATTTTCCTATAAAAGTGTAGAGAAGAGGAAACATTGTCTGCTGTTTTATTGACCTACTTGCAATTTATTAAACAATACAACTCTTCTTAAGCAGACTCACATTCTCTACCACTCTGTCTTTATGAGACAGAGTCTCATGTATCACAGTTTGGCCTCATACTCACTGAGCAGCCAAGAATGGCCTTGAGCTCCTGATCTTCCATCTTCTACCTTCTAAATGCTGGGATTATAGGTGGGCTTTACTATGCGTATTTTATGTATTTCTGGGAATCAACCCTCTTCTTAAAGATAAAAATCAAACAAACAAAAGGCATAAAATAAGTTGAACAATGGTTTCAAAACGTTTTTTCATGAAAACTCATCTGCAAGGTTGCTAACTGATTTTCAGAATTTGTAGCAAAAGGAACACTACTTCTGGTGACACGCTTTCAAAGTGAGGACTAAGCTGGCACTTCTCAGTGCACTGCCAATCTTGAAATCAACAAAAGTAATAAGTAATTTTCAACAGACGTAGATTTATGTATTAAAGGACTCAAATGCTTACCATTTCTTTCCTTAATCCGTATTTTCAAATATGCTGAATTCTCCTACCAAAAATCTTTCTTTCAGGTAGAGGGCTGTTTCTCAGATAGTGATTTAACTAACACTGAAATATACTGAAATTTATCCACCAAGTCTCTCCCACACTAAAAGAATAGAAGAAAAACTAAACTCTGGGTTCCGAATAGTTGCTTTTATAAAACTATCCAGACTTTATTGCTTGTTTTGTTTTTTTTTTAAAGAAAGGCAGACTACCACGTGCAGTGCCTCATTTGGAT